CAATTAATGAATTAATCTGGCTGCTTAGATTAATCGATTAACTCAATTAGTCATTGATTAATCTGATAATTTAACCATCAAATTGATTAATCGAATTTAAAAAATTGGCATGTTCTGCATATTTTTCATTTAATGTCTTAAGTTTTTTGAACTATGTAAAAATACACTAAAAGAAATACATTAATTAAAAAATTTAAAATTTTATTGTCTAGAATGCAATGACAGCTTTCCTTTATAGAATCTGAACTAAAACTGCCAGTCGAGGAGTTTTAGGTAGAAGATATTTACAGACAAAGGTGATTTTATCTTAAATGCAAAATATAATCACATTTTGTGCAGTTTTGGCTTAATTACTGCTCTGAAAGTGTAATTTTTTAAAAATCTGTGTAGTCTAGTTAAAGATTAATCGACTACTAAATTAGTTGACTGTTACTTCAATAATCAATTAATCACGATTAATCGTTTCAGCTCTAGAGGGTTTACAGATCAAAGCGGAGGTTTTTAACGTTACTGTTAAAATGTTGCCTAAATCTGACTCCGGAGTGAACTGAGCAAAGAACAACAACAAAACTGACGTCTCACGCGGTACTCTGGTGTGGGAAACACGAGAGAAAAATAGATTTAGTTTTGTAAAGTGTCCAACACAAAAATGCATTCATGTAATTTTATTTGATCCATCTCTGTGAAGAAGTGCGGGAGCGTTGGGTTACAGTAATCTGCATCGGGGGCAGATTACTGCCACAGCTGCTGTCCATCTTGCTAATGACCAGCACCTCCCGCCGGTGCACAGCTTTGGCAAACGACGGCAGAACGTGCCGTCAAAGTCACATCGAATTCGTTTTGGTTGTTCCCGTCGGAACCGCATTCAGAAAGATTGGACACGAGTCGGATTCTGGACAACACATGGACGTGACTCAAAATAAAAATAAATAAGCATCAGTTTTGGGAGTTCACGTTCATTCTAGCACGTCTGTCCTGGTAACTAGCCTCAAAATAAAACTAAAAATTCAGATTTGATCCACATTTGCCTGCAGTGTGAACACAGCCTTAGTGACTCTGCAGACCGAAAAACGAATAAATTGGTATAAGTTATAATTTAAATCAGCAGGTCAGGCTTTTTAAAGATTAGTGATCCTCTAGAAAATTGCCATCGATGCCCCACTACTGCAAATATATTCACAACCATCAATAAACTATCTGATCCAGCTTCTCTTGATGGAGATGTCTTTCCTTTCTTCCAGTTTATTTCGACTTCCATTTATTGTCAGTCCATCTAACTACTGTGAATTTTTACATTTGCAAAGTTAAGAGATATTTTATGTTTATTTTACAGCTGCACATTTACCAGCACTGTAATATCACTGTACACAACATAAGACAACCTACTTGGCCTGTACTAAGCGTGAGTTTGACAGACGACTCGTTATCCGGGGCTGGAAAACATGCCTGAAAAACATATTGCAATATAAGCGTTTCATTTCAATCGATGGATAATTATTTATTCGTTTTTTGTGTTAAATATCGGAAATTCTGCCGATTTTTAACATTCCTGTTTTATCCACAGTTTTCACTCAACATAGTTGTTTTTATTTTTAAGCAGCTATGAGGCACTGTGCTGCAAGATACTGAACGAGTTGTTGCTAGGTAACCAATGAGCGAGTTAGCTGATGCCACCTAGCCGTGACAGGTTGAGAGGCTAAAGCCTTTCCTCTGCCTACATCCCCAGAATGCTGTGCGGTTCTAGCTCGGAGTTCAGTGAAATTATTGAAAATCCTATCAGACGCATTATCTATTGATACTGATCACGTGCCTATTGCGATATATATTATTTATTTACTGTCCAGCCCTATCTGGGGTCTATGTTTGCTATAAACCCAAAGCAGAAAGACGTCAACATTGTTTACTTTTTATTGCAAGAATAAAGAAGTAAAATTATCACAGTCACCAGTATTATTACCCATTTTCATCATCGCTCAGCCCTACTGTACATGGGTTTCGATGTCGTTGCAAAGCAGCAGGCTTTAGAGTCAAAGGTGATTTAAACAGAAGTAAAGTTCTCCAAAAAACCTCAAAATGTCAAAACATGAAGAAATCAAATTAACCAAAACTACATAATTCTGTACAACGCACAGATTCTGTTGTAAAAAACAAACAATGGATTAATACCTGTGAAACTCATTAAGTCTTAAGATAGCCTTTGTCCAAACAGTGCAGCAGCAAAGAAGCAGGTAGGCACGTTGTTTTGGCTGGGAAGAGACAGGGACAAGAACTTGATTTATTAGGTTCATTTCCTTCTGACTCAGGCTCCCTGCAACACACACACACACACACACACCACCCCCCGTTACACCTAATGCAGCACAGCACCTGAGAAACACAGACAGGGACGTGGTGAAAGGAGGAAGAGGTAAACATACAGCGGAGGAGGAAGGAGGAGGATAAGAAGCAGCTTAACAGTGAGAGGTTTTGGTTTTTGGGGTTTTTCCCGCCGCGATAGTGGAGAATATTAAACTATAATCCTGCACTGGGGTGCAATTAGACTGAAAACTGTCCATATGATCTGAAAACATCCTGAAAATAATTATTGAGCTCAACAGAACAAAGCTGTGGAGCAACACAAAGCCACAAGATGTGAAAAAGAAACAGAGGGAACACAAAAAAAAAAAAAAAAAAAAGAGAACGAGTGAGCGGGAAAATAAAGAGAGACACGGAGTGGAGACAAAAATAACAATCCAGAGGGCAAAAAAGGGGGAAAAAACCAGAGAAAATCTGCAGCAGTGGCAGCCTGGGTATGACCAACACCTCAATCATTCCTGACATTTAACATCGCAAACCCGCGCGTCACCTCGGCTACAACTGGGTTCAGATTACAGGCTGCTACTGGAAATTAATCCCCAGAAGATACTTAAAAAAAAAAATAAAGAAAGAAAGAAAAGCTAATCCTGCTTCAGTGGCAGGGATACAGGAGATGCAAAAACACATTCCTCCTGAGAACTGCTCCTCCTCGTTTCAGACTTTTTCTACCCTGGCTGCCAAGACGGCCATTAGCAACACGACGACACTCCGGAGAGTTCTCACTGTCACCGTTTCTCATGGCTGACATTTCTATGAAGGACTGTGAATGTTTTGATGTTTTTTTATTATTATTATTATTATTAGGTAAGGATTTTTAGGAACCAAATTCCTCCTGAAGTCACGCCTCGTGGTGACGGCTAGCAGCTAGCTAGCTCTTCAAATTATCGCCTTAACTGAATTCAAAACCCGTCTGGCGGGTAACCGGTTTTTCTTTAGAAACACGCCCAGGTGGAAGCGCCAGGTGAGCGTGACCCGGTCCGACCTCGCCTGACTCAACCGCCCATGGTGTGTCTCGAAAGCCCTCACGGCCCTGTGCGCATGTCTAGTGTTTGGGATTCAAAAACACATAATAATTATAGTTTTCAAATGTTTCCCATCATTAATGTGATATTAATACTCTAGAATTCAACTGGAAGAGAAAGAAATCAAAAGACGTTCAACACAATGTAAAAGTTGCAACAACAATAGAAGTTATGTTAGTAAGTTTAAGTTTATTATAACTTTGGTTTTATCATTACTTCCACTTTGATTTTTTTTTTTTGTGTCACTTTGTTGACCCTCCTGGGCCACCGTACTTTTCTGCACATTGTAATCATAACAAAATCGTGCAGTTTCTAGCACCAATATCTTTTTACAAATAAGAAAAAAACTAACAAATGTAGCTTTTCAGCAAGAAGTCGAGATTTATTTTAACTAAATTATTCTTGAGTCTAAATGAAAATAAATAAACTACCAGTTTCACAGGCAGATTTCTTCAACTTAAAATGAGAAAATGCCTTCTTATGCGTGGAAAAAATGTGTAATTTTTACCTACAGTCAAGAGTTTGTTAGTTAAAACAAGCTTACATATGTTGAAAAGTTACCTTTTAGTTTTGCCTTATTCAGATATCTGCACTAGAAATTAAACCAAAATTACTTAGTAAGATTTTGTGTTTTTGCAGTGCAGATGGAAGTAGACATTTTTATCGAGGTGAATGACTTTGGCCCCAAACAACTTCAGGTGTGATGGATTATTTTCTTTTTTAATCCAAATTAGCAAAATAATGACAAGATGAGCAGAAAATATCATTTTTCTTGAGTCCAGAATCCAGTTTTCTGTTAAACTGTTCAAAACAAAATCATATTACACTTAGAAAACATCCTAAATTGCTTCATCATGATCTCTACATGAGCAATGATGTTTTAAAAAGTTGTTGTTTTTTTTTTGGTAATATTTGCAGCTAAATGTTGCACTATTATAGATGTTGCAAACGGGGATGAGAAGTTACAGAAAACACCAAACAGCTCCAGTATTCCCTGCTAAAACAGAAGCTTAGAGAAAGACAAGAAAAGGAGAGAACAATGAAGAAAAGAAATAATAGAAGAAGAAAAAAGTCAAGATGGACACACAGGAGAGCAAACCTGATCACTGAAAATCTCAAATTCCTGAACACCAACCAGCTTCCAGTCACTCTGTAACTTCATGAAATATCAAACTCCCCTGTCTTCCATCAGCTCTCCATAAAAACATTAACTCTATATACATAAATATCTATGTAGAGGTTAGCCAGGGAGCAGAAATCTTAACGACAGCATCAAACGGCGGGCGGCTGGCCAGCCTCCAGCCGTTACTTCCACAGCTGCTCCACACATTGGCTCTGCTGGGCAGCAGCTCTGCTGCAGACATGCTGCCAGTGCCAGATGCCACTCACTGACTGGTGGGCTCAAGGTAAACGCTCCCTGCTGGGTGATAATGCCAGAGGACCTCCATTTGTCTCTGCACCGCATGGAATTTTCTTTGACTAGGTCACTGTTTTGATCTAAGCCACTCTGGCGTAGCTCCGGATGTACGCTTAGGGTCCGTTTCCTGCTGGAAGGTCAGTCTCTGGTCTAGTCCAAGTCTTTTGCAGGTTTTCATTTATTGGTGGAGTGTTTTGTTTTTTTTAATAAAAGAAGCAAAAACAATATATATACTTTGCTTCATTCTTAAGTACTTTGTGTTTAGCACATAAAAATCTAAATATTAATGTTTGCGGTCCGAGCTGATAGCTTGAGGGAAAAATAGCAAAGAGGTTCTGATGCTACGGCAACGAGACGTTTACAAGAGAATAAATATTTTCCTTTCTTCACAAAAAACAAAGAAATTACAAATTACAGAAAATATCAGAAAAAAAAAAAAAAAACACTTGCTTTCATTTCAATCACCCCTCATGGGAAATAACACGGAATCAAAGCTCAAAGAAATATGAACTGTAAAACACGGCTGTAGGGAGAAAATTTGCTTCCGACAGGGGAGCACCGATTTACAGGCCAGTCGGTTTACCGGCCAGTACTTATCAGTGCCAATTTCTTTAATTTTGGAAAATCGGTGCTCAGCCAAAAATCTGCAGTCAGTGCACCCCTCGTTTCTGAATTAAAAAAAAAAAAAAAAAAACATTTCTGAATCTCTAGACATTCTGACTGGATTTACAAATGCAAACAAAATCCCAACGACATGCTGTGACTGCAGCAGAAGACGGGAAAGAAAACACATCACGGCAGTAAAAGTCTACCGGTCAATCAGCATTCGCTGTGAGGATGCGATAGCTCCTGGAGCTGGAGATACGGTAGCCACCGAGAACGAAAGACATATTACATCAGGGGAAGGTTAGTGGGACGGTTTGGGGGAGGGGGGGGGGCTAAATGTGAGGTGTGTGTAGCGAACGCGTCGGGTTTTTCACACGTCCTCGCCGTGACACGGCCTGGCTACGTGGAGAACTCTGGTTCACCCCGCTCCAGCTGTTAGGGAGAGGGCAACCAGCGGGCAGGAAGGCTGCCTTCACCTACTGTGATTGGATGAACAACAACAACACCACACACGCTAAAGTACATAACCACACACACACACACAGCTGAACGTTAAGCCCGTCCCACCTAATGGCTGCTCAGGGAGGCAATGAGCTTTGCCACCTATACATCCATGACCCCTAGTTGACTTCCCTCACCCATTTCTCTCCCCCTTCATGACCTGGCAATGGCACCCTATTAGGGGAGCCAGAAATAGGCTCTGGGATCCCGTTTGAATAGAACGCCCCCGATGCAACCATCAGCTGCAACCGAATGCACAAATCTCCCCGCAAATGGGGTCAAAGCTAGTGCTCAGCCATTTGTTTTGATTTCCCTCCACTCGCCCTCTCTCACTTCTTTCCCCTGGAAATCATATCTGCCAGCGATCATGCGAGGCGATGATGCGCCAGTGGAGAGCCCAGCGAAGCAGAGTGTAGGGATGGAGGGAGGGGGGAGTGATTACGCAACAGCAATCTCTGCCTTTATTTGTGGCGCACAGTTTAATCTTTTTGACACATATGCCGCTCACACCGGCGGCGTGGGCGATAACCCACGCCGAGTCGACGGCGATGCTGGGAAAACACAACGGAGTGGCGACAGGAAAAGCGATCAGATTGACTCGAATGCCAACATCCGGAACGCTGTGGCAATTTTGTGATTTTCTCTGAAGGCTGGAGGAATGACTGACTTTGTTTCCTTCTAGAGTGCATCTGGTATTTTGTGGATGTTTGATAGTGAATAAGGAAGTGAATCCTAGCAGGGACCGGAAGATATTTAAACTTTATTTTGGTAGGTAAAATCTTTCGGAGCCATTTATAATCGGAGTGCCGGTTAATTGCGCACCGATTGGAATTTTCTGGCCGATCGCAGATTTTTAAAAAACCTGATCAGCTGATTCTAACTTTGGTTGATACCCGCTCCAGCTCCAGCATAAGTTATCTCTGTAAAATAACTTATGCTGTCAGGTAGGCTTAAAAAACTAATAAAACCAGCTCAGTTTGAGTATTATGTTCTTCGAAATACACAGCTTTGCACAATCGTTTCAAAGTCCTCCCACTAGTGATAATTTGATGCTGATGTGTGAAAAGATGAAGTATTTCTATTAAGTATTCTCTCAGCAAAGTATAATTTCACAACATGCTCAACGTTCTTCACTTTAACTGTTGTGTTTTGTGTTGGAGTTACTACTTTGCTCTCTTAATACGAGTTTAATCTTGTAATTAAAGATGTATATATTAGTCTCTTCCTAATGTTCAACCATAAACTCGAAATAAATAGAAACTTTAAAACACATTTGTCAAAGAGGACAACAGGCCTTAGACTCTGTGATTTAATCAATAGAAATCGATTTATCACCCAGCCCAGACTTTTCTTTCACAGAAATTGGTTTTGCATACAAATTTTGACCGATTGGCCAAAATATAGAAAATTGGGGCCGATCAAGCGGTTGATCGGTGCACCCCTCATGTCAGTCTGTATGTTCTGTGAGAACCAGAGTGCAGCTTGTGTACAAAACAAACTTTTGAGCCAATCTGCTCACTTTCAGCAGTTTCACACCCAAAAGCAATATCCTGTAACAACTTGTTGATTCGTTGAGTTTATTTTTTTAGAACTGCAAACCAGCATATTAAAAGTACAAACGTATTACTTAAACTAATGTTTGCCTGCCCCGCTCCAGAGAAACAGGTCACTCTCCGTTTTTTTCCCTAAGAGGGTCACCATGTTGGGTCGACCCCACGTGACCCCCTGGTCTCTGGGCTAATCCTTTCGTCTGGGTTTGCGCTGTTGGCATCCTCACCGTGTTTGGCACCCCGGATCTTAGACAAAGCTCGCAGCGAGCCAAAACACTGGTCAGGTCGACAACGTCTGGGTAACGGGCCAATAGCGGAAAGCGCTCAGGTAGATTTAAGACGCGGTAACTCGGGGTATCAGGTCTGCTGAGGTTAGCAGACGGCTGCTTTCTGATCAGGTTACAGAGGTGGGTGTGTTCCCTCTCTCCTCTGTCGCCTGCATGTCTGCCTCCCCCACCTCTTGTTCTGTCTCCCTCACTTTCCTCTCCCTCTTTCTCCTTCCAGAGGCCAGAAGCTTGCATCATCCAGGCCTCGCCCTCTGGCTCTGCTACACGCCACCTCCTCTTTTCTCTTTCTTGTCCGTGTTGCTTCCTTTTTCCCTCGCTTTCCTTCTTTCTTCTTCGCATCTCCTGACAGATGCTGACAGGGAGCAGCCCTGCAGCTGGTCTGCGCTCGCTGCAGGAGGCTGGGAGCCACATGACTCTCTAAGCCTGACCTCATCTTCCTCTTTTAACGGGTGAAAACAAGTCTGCCGGCCACGGACGAAAAACAAACAAGGCATACCTGTGAAGGCATTACTCACGTGCCTGTCTAAAAAAAAAAAAAGAAAGAATGAACAACATGGCAGTGGGATAAAGCCTTTAAAAATAGAGATTTTATACCAAACAATTTAGCGTTGATGATTCATGTCCCAGTTTAAGAGCTCAATTTTCAAATTACTCAAAATTATCATGCGAACGCTGGAGTTAACTTTTCGGCAAAAAAAAAAGTTGATATCCCTGACTTCAAATGACAAATATGTTTTAAAAGCCTGACAATCAGCAGAAGTTCATGTTCTTTGTAACCAAACCAGGTCATCCTGATTGGTTTAAACCAGAAGCTTTTACAAACCAAACAAGTCATTTTTGCCCTTGGTGCGGCTAAACCAAACCTGTCTGGAGCCATAAATGTTAAATAACCTTTCATAAAAAGAAGACTTCAGTATTTTTTTTACAATAGGAAATTTGTGGTTACTTTTAAAAGAATCACCATTTTTACCTGTTTTTAGGCTTTCAAAACAAAGAAAAACATAAAATACTTGTATATAAAAAAAATTATGAATACATTTTCTTCTATCAGATGTTGATGTTAGTGGAAAATTATTGAAACAAAAGGAAAAAAAAACTTACTTTACAACATTTTGATGAGGAAAAAAAATTGGTATGCCCGATATATCGGTATTAGCATCGTATCGGCCGGTATTAGCAATGTTTTTAAGATATCGTATCATCTGATAAATAAAACTGGTATAAAACCGATATTAATAACAGATACGTACTTCCATCATTTGTTTTTGTGGGGACGAGGATGAGGTCACGCAGCAAAGGATTGTGGGGAATTTAATTGAACCAAAGAAGCAGTGGTGAAGTTGATGTTTTTCCCAGCTATCGTCGTAGTAGTAGAGAAATATATACAATACATATATAATATCGGGTGTCAGCCATAACAGCAACAATAATAGGGGTTACTGGCCCAAATGTTCAAATCGGTGCATCCCTAAAAATAAAACAAATACTTAAATATTAGTAATAGTTGTGTCATTCTGCTGTCAAAATTTAATGCAGGTTTTATTCCGTACATAAAACTGCTAAAATCTACATTTTTTTTTTTTTATTGTTGGTTCTGCACAGTTTTAGTGAAATTAAGAGCTGTGGTTTAAACCAACTGTTTTCAATGTTTACATCATAATAGTCTGACACCAGACAGAAACACTGCTGTAAATTAACTTGTTTTCACGTCAAGCTTTTACTAAACTCTGCTTCAGTTATTAGCAATACTTATCTGTCCTTTAAAACCCAAAAAGCTCAAGATAAGCAACAGATAAAAATGTAAAACGCAGCAATATGAGGCACTAAAGAGACGTCGCAATAAGCAATAAATTGCATGATAAATTAAAACAAACTCAATAAATTCCATTTGAATGATTTATTGCTTCTGTTTTCTCTCCCTTTCTACCAAAAACTGAATGATAAGAGTCTTCAGTCTGGTGCTCTGGTCTCAACTATGACTTTTTCTGAAAGATGATTTTGTTTAGAGAGTCTTCATAATTCAATTTATTTGTCGTTTCTGTTGTTTTCTTTATTTATTTTGGATATTTCAAATGTCTTCCTGTTCCAGAGTTAAATGTTCATTAGAATTTAAAGTTTGTTGATCTTTGGGAATGTGTTCTTGTATTATTATGCCATTACCATTGTATTACTACATAATGGTCTCAAAACAACAATATTATTATTGCCTATCACAATAACTTCTGGAACAATTTATCGTCCAGCAAAATTTGTTGTGGTGACCGGCCTGATGCCAACTGGCGTAAATCTGAAAGTAATGGTGTTTACGTCTGGACTGAGATGCGTTTGGTGCCGTTACCTTGTCCTTCTCGTGAGGCAGCAGTCGAACGGGCGGCAGCGTTTCCAGCGACACCGTCCCGGTCCCATCGTCCTGGCAGCCACCGCCTCCGCCGCCGCCTCCGCTGCGGCTGACCAGCTGGAAGGTCTGCCCCTGCTTGACCACGCGGCCGTGCGCCACCGCTCTCTTCAGAGCTACCCTCAGCTGCTGGTGGAAGAGGCCGGCTCCTATGGAGCCGCTGCTCGACAGGTAGGCCGCCACGTCCGCCTGGCACTTCAGGAAGCGCTCCACGTTCTTCAGGCTGGAGCCGCCGGGTTCATGGAGGCCCTCCAGCGCCCGCTTGATCAGTTTGTTCCAGTCGAGTCCGGGTTTCTTGCCGGAGTGCGAATGAGACGTGCTGCCAGAGCCATTATTGCTACCACCTCCCGTTGATGCAGCTGCACCACCTCCCACTCCGCCGCCTCCGCCGCCTTTTGGCTTCGGCAGAGACAAGCGCCCAGGGTTGTCTGGGTCTTTGTAGGAGTTGAGGCCCTTGTTGGTGACCTTAAGGATGGTGCCATCCTTGACGCTGAGCTCCAGCTGCTCCAGAACCGTCTTGCGGTCCAAACCGTGGGACATCGACACCGCATTGCAAATGCGCTCCTCCGACGGTCGCTGCTTCTGCTTCTTGACCTTCTTGATGGCCTCTAGGATCCATTGGGTGTAAACCGGGTTGGCCAGCTTCACCATAGCTGCGGCCTGAGCAGATGCAGTGGCCTAGAGGCCTTACCGCAAGGACCGCAAACGAAAAACAACAACAATAACAAAAATACAAATACAAAAAAAAAAAATAGATAACCGTGAGCCAAGTAAATGCCTGGCCTGCGCCGTAGCGCCGCCTCCTCCTCTGCGTCCTCAACCAGCTTACTATCCCTTGTCCTGGGGCCGCACAGAGAGTCCCTCAGAAGCTGAGTATGAGCAACGCGGAAAGGAGCTGTTGATCATAGCACAATCTCCCCCGAGCCGACCCGCTGCCTGGTAAAATACGGTCCACCTGCCGCCCGCTCCTAACCAGGTGAGCGTGCCTGGCAGGAAGCAGGAGGAAGTGGAAGAAGCAGCAGATCTTTCTTTTGAGAAATGAAACCCCCAGAGAGCACAAAAAACAACAAAAATACAGGCTGATTTCTTAATTTAGGGGGTAGAGCTCACAGTGACAAAAATAAAGTCCTTCTTCCTTTAAAGTCTTAAAAAAGTCTGTTTTCTGCCAGCGGTGAAGTAAACACGTCGTAGTTCGAGTTGACAGATTCGATCAAGGTCTCCTGAACATGAGATTTGTGTTACAATGTAAAGAGAGGAAGGAAGCAGAGTAGATAGCTCCAAATCCACTGATTCTTTTCTTCTTCTCGTCTCCACTTGTTCTTCTTTCACTGATGTAGGATTCTCATCTGTGGAGTGGAGGAAATTTCTCTCCACAGGGAAGAAGTCAGGTTTGATCACCTTCAAGTCCACTGTGCCTCAACAGCTGATGAAAACTGTAGAAAACATTGAAGAGAAACAAATTGTCAGAAAACAGACAGCAAACATGTGAGTCTGTAAAAAAAAAAAAAATTATATATATGCAGCAGACCCACGTGTAACTTCTCCAGATTTTGTTACCTGCTAGCTATTTCTTTCAAAACCGTAAAGATTCACCTTCTGCCAGGCATATTTTTAAAACAAGCATGCATATTCTGAATGGTGTTCTAAGTATATGATTAAAGACGGTAAAATAAAACAATAAAGTTCTTAAGTAGTCTGAGCTACTATAACACATCTGTTGGATCAAACCACACTGGCCACATCAAACTTATTCAAATCCCTAAGCTTCCTGCTTCTAATAGGCTTAATATATCCCATCCTATCCACTAATGGTTGCCCTGATGGAAAGATAGTACCGTTCACTTCCCCTGTGAGAGTGGTCAAGGTGTAATGCCTGATCAGTGTAAACAAAGCCATGCTTTCCTTTTCACATAAACAATTCAAAGCTGCGAGCTGAGCTCTGATACGTATGAACATGCTAATTACTCAAAACATCGTCATTACGGGACAATACAAAGTATATAATTGAGTTTTAATGTGGCTAACGCTAAACGTCGCTTTATATAAAAGGTGCTGCGTCCCAGGGACAAATAAAACAAACGAAACACTCCTGAAACCTGGACAACCAGGTCCAGCCACCTGGTCAGCTGGGTTGCTAAATGTAAACACCATGTAGTCAAACGCACACACAGCTAGCAAACATTAGCTCACAGGCTAGGTAAAAGACCAACCAGAGTCATTTGTTGCATTGTTAAAGGATTATTATTACATTGTGTTGTTCAATTATAATGACATACTTCCAGTCTGACACGTATTTACAAACAAGAGTGCCCCGTTAACCGCTGCTGTTTAGGAAGCTAACGTTGTAGCCCGCGAGCTAGCGTTACCACACTGTTACTAACGTAACTCGCTAACCCGAGACGTAAACAGCATGTAACGAGAGAACGGATAACACTCCAGCGTAAAAACGACACAACATTCCCGCTTTGGTGGCAATTTCCAGCAACACAAATAAGACGAGGAATCCTATTCTGAATGTCATGATACTAACGTGAGACTGCGGCCTTTATATAAGAGGCACAATGCAACTTGCAGACGGCCATCTCGGCTAGCGGGCAAGTGCAACACTGAAGGTATCTGAGCAGCGGACTCTGCAGCATTATGCTACGCGGCCTAGTTCTCTGCACACAGGACGGGCGAGCAGCCTCTGCCCACTAACACACCGTCCCTGCAAAGCGGGTCTCCACCTAAGCTGACTTCCTCCCTTCACCAACCGCCCTCTTGTGTCGCTTCAAGCCTGCGGTGAGGTGGAGAGACAAGGCCGCCACAGCGGAGCGCCTAGGCCTTTGGTTTCCCCTCCTCTCGTAGCCCCCCTCCACTCAGCCACCCACCCACCTCCGCGAGCACCATCCCTCCGTACCCCTCTCTCCCGCTACCTCTCGCGGTTCCCCCTGAAAGCCAAAGCTGGTCCGGTTCTGGTTTCCGAGGGAAGCTCGGGTAAAGCTCACCCTGGTAGAAAAAAAAACAAAAAACAAATCTCCTCAAACCCTATCCGACTCCCGCTGCTACTCACCGGAATTTCGTGTCGAGCCGCTGCGAAGAAGGTGCCAGAACCGTGGGGAACGAAGACAACAACAAGGCTAAAAATGCAGCCAGAGGACCAGGGGCTCTAGAGCCGACGCCATCTTTGAGTGAAATAGGAGCACGGCTGTTGGGGGAGGGGGGAACACTGAGCCGTCAGGCAGGGCCGAGGGACCGTCTGCATGGTGCGAGGCGCAGATCCAGAGGAAGAAAAATCCACTGCAAGGCGCGGGGGCGACGTGCTGTTGCTATGAGAGGGGTGTGGATAACGCTTGAGCACATGAAATGGAAGAAAGGGACAGATGGTGGTGGTGTTGGAGGGAGAATGAAAAAAAAAAGAAAAAGAGATGGTAGGTGCTCATGCAGCAGAGATTCAAGGGAGCGTCTGCCTTTCTCTTAAAAGTTAACGTTAGAGGGTATTTAAAGATCAAAGTAAGACACACTTCCTCATTGCAGTGTGTTGTAGAACCTGAGCATGTTTATTTAACTGGACTCATCAGATGTTGCGGTGTGCAGGTATTTGTTACAGTAGGCATGATGGAGCATGTTATTTATCTGCAAGTGCAGAGTAGTTTGCTGATGCACTGCTGATCATTGTGCAAATAAAGGGGAAAAATAAATAAATTATGCTAAATATCTACTACCGGTCCATCAAGGTATATTCAGTGATAAGACACCCTATATTAAAATAATTTATGAGTTTTTAAAGCTGCCAGCGCGACATCAGATACAGTATCTGGTGACAGGTGGAAGCAGCATAATGTAAAGGAATGATAATGATCTTATTGCATTTCAATCTGCGCTGTGCTCGATTTAATTGTAATTCCCATCAAAGAACCCACAAAGTAATTCCATATTATTTTCCAGTTTTGCATTCTGCTGTGCTGCACACAAAAATAGAACAACGGCCATTGCTTGGTAACATACTGCATTTATTGGGGGACAAATATTTGTCTTCAAACATTTCTTACCTAAGATAATTTGCAATGTCAATCTGTAGTTGGGCAGTAATGAAGAAAAAAAAACATATATGATACAAAGTGAAAAATCTGAAGTAAAAATATAACCCAATTAAGAAACTGCAATAAAAAAGGAGTAAAATACTCTTTGGGACCTTAAGAGAACATGTATTTACATGGTACCAGTTGTACCCTTACAAAGAAAAATTGTTTAGGCTTGAAAGTTATGCTAACACAGTAATCATTTAAAGCACATTTAATAATTAGCGCTACTTGTGAGCTGAGAAAATAACAAATAAAAAACCATAAATACATCAGCAGGTAAAAGTCTCTTTTACGTGGATGCTCATGAACATAACATTAAATTTGGCTTCTCCGCGACTTCAATAAGTCTTCTGAATGCAAAAAAAAAAAAAAACTATAAACAATGTGGAAAGCAATTAATTATTGCTGCAGTTGGTGGTGGAAATGGGGCCTCTGAATGAAATCCTGCTAAGGGCCTCATGGAATCTTTTGCTAGCTATGACAACAGCAATGTATTTTATTGGCGTGATATGGTTTTAGTTGTGACATTCACAGCTTATAACTTATAAGCTGTGAATGTCGTACCTCAATATGTAAACAACAGTGTATTTGTCAACCTGTCTGGTGTTCAAGTTCTCTTGAGTACTCAACAGTTTCAGAGTTAAATTGGGCCACCTCTGCAAATAAATTATGAATACTTTAATGTGTTGCTCAGATTTAAAGCAAACACAACAGATGACATGTTTATATTAGTGAGAAATAACACATGTACATGTACTCTCAGAAGTGGTTAATCTGCTGTTAAATCTCTTGTAAGAAATTAATCAAGATCACGATAAATCAAAATTAGCTTCATAATTTCCATTGATCAATATATTTTAAAAGGCAACTTTGCTTCCTTTTTATTTATTGTTTTTGGTTGTTGGATTTTATTTTGGATATTTATTAAATATCCAAATTAAATTCCATATTTAATATTAAATTCCAGTTGTAGTGTGGAGTGTTCTGTTCAAAATTTAAGTTTATTACTTTTTGAGAGGGTAAACTTGCATTATTGTGCCAATATATTATACTTGAAAATGATCTCAAGACAACAATATTATCATTTGTTGCGATCATTTCTGGAACAATGTAATCATCCAGTAAAATTTTAAATCATCACAGGCTTACTGTGGATACTGTAAGTTACTCTCAACTTATTTGTTTAATAAAATGCTTCTTCAAGCCAGGGCTTATCTTGATAACGTGGCACCTGTTTTGGGAATCTGGCATATCTTCATTTTCTATTATAGTGTAAAGCCGAACGCTCCCTCCGTGGAAATTAAATTATCTCGGGCTTTGTGTAAAATGATGTGTACAGCGGTCCTCAGAGACGGATTACGGTGCCTTATAGGGGACAATTAGAGTTGATGTTTTCCCATGTTGGAAGTGCCTTGTGAGAGGGTGAGGCCCTGTCAGCGCAGGCGGTGATCAAATAAGGTCACACTTTACCTCGCTGTTTATCTCCCTCCGCTTCTTCGGGGACGGATAAATCACATCCCGGCGACAGGACACTAATTATAATTAACGGCGGTGTTATTACAGAGATAAATAGTGTGAAGCGTTAACAGTCGAGCAGCTATTAGTGCACCTCCTGAGGACTCACATTACGTTTAGTGTACAGTAGTGCGAGCCAACAGATGGACAATACTCGGGAGAAGCTCGCGCCACTACGACCGTGGTTGCCGGCCATGAATAAATAATACCGTGGTATCATGATCCGTGTTCACCACAACAGACACGAGTGGTGGGATGAGCGCAGGTCCGGTCCAAGTCTATATGGGGTCCTATCCAGGTTTTACTTGGGGCCCACCATACCTATATGTCAACAATACTTTATCGTTCCTAAGCTTTTTTATATGTGCAAACATACTTGCTATCGTTAGCATTGTTTGTAATTAGCTTACATCATACTGGTGTTGTTATCGCTATTGACTTTAAAAAGACGTTTTTGGATTTTGAAATGCAGAGTGGCGTTTAAGTGTGCTGTATTATTTTAAGTATTATCAGCTGATAAACAGTGAACATATAGTAAACAAATTCAAAAGTTTATATCTTCCCAAGAGAGGCAGCAGCCAACAGTAGGACTTAACGTACCACACATGTAACAACTAGAAAAATAATAGAACAGGTGTGTTAGTGATACATCCATCCATTTTCTTACACCCTTGTCTCTAGTGGGGTCACCAGGGGTGCTGGTGCCTATCTCCAGAGAGACATTTTGGGCAAGAGATAGACAAGACAAACAACCACGCACACACACACTCACACCTAAGGAGAATTTAGAGAGACCTGACTGTGGTTCTCTCCGTAGTAGAGAACTCCATGCAGAATGACCCCAGGCCAGGATTCGAACCCAAGGCAACAGTGCTACCAACTACGCCACTGTGGCGCCCTATGAGTGATACGATCATTATCTAATCAATAGAAGAGTTGCTTTCTGAAATCTGAAATTTGGCCAATGTTGACCAGAGTTTCTCGCTTCTAATTAAAGTTGGGACGATATGAGATTGTCATGGTATGACAACTTAGGGTAAATAAACTGCAGTTTCACTCTATTATTTATTATGATATATTAATTTAAAACATGATCCAAATGTTGTTTTTTTTATTATTTTTAATCTAAAACCATTTTTTTTCTTTTGAAAAGGAAGAGCTATTCCTACTGCAGCTGGAGAATAAGACATTAGTTTAACAGTTCTAATAATGTTATCCATAAAATTGGTTGTTATTGGGATTCTCTTCACAGAGGTTCAGTTACCATGAGCTCAGGCTGCTATAGGCTGCTGGAATACAAACTGACCACTTTTTCTTACTTTCCTCTACTCCCCAAATTACATTATTTATTATTTACCTTAACAATAGTTACATGAGAGCTCCTTTAGTTGCTCCGCTGCTTCTCCTGCTGCAGCTAAGCATCCCCAACCATGACACTTCCACCTCTATGCCTTTCAGGTATTATGAGCTTCCTTTCCATAATAAGCTGAATTTGGCTCATATCTGAAATGTCACCTGTTCGGGTTTAATTCAGTTTTTCACCTGTCTGTCCGAAGAACATTATTCCAGAAGTCCTCGTCTTTGTTTATGTTATTTGTAGCAAACTTTAGTCTGGCCTTCGTGTTTTTCTAGAGGGAACAGAGCAAAACTAAACTAAACTAATAGAATGGAGGTTTAAACAGGGCAATCATCCTTCAAAATGCTGAATAGTCATGTTTTCATCACAGGTGCCTATGTGACTGTAGTTATTTTAAGTGGGAATATATGTGTGGGTGTCCTAATTTATTCTTCACCAGAAATTGCATTTTTTTTAACTTCTTTGTTTTAGAGATATTTTTTTTCCATTTTTCTTTTATGTTCTTTTATGAATGTTTTAATATTGTTCAAATTGCTATTAAATATTCATATATTCAAATGTCAAACAATCACCATTGTAAGTACTGAAGGAGAGGGGAGTTGAGAGGAAGTTGAACATAAGAGAAATCAACGCATAAACAGTTTGGCAGAATAATGACACCACAACGTTTTCCTGACATTACATGACTATATTCTAAAGCTTGGAGGCCGAAATGAGTTATTCGCTTTATGTTGCTTCATGCCAGTAAAACAACATTTGAAATGCATTAATGTATTTTACAGGAACAATTCACGTTAATTAACATTTCAGGAAATGGACCAGAATTAGCCAAAAGGCTAGTTTTCATGTGCTGTCCCCGGTCAATGGGTAATTCATCTTGCTAAAAAAAAACAACAACAAACAAAGGTTATACAAAACAAGGTCAAGATGACTTAACTACACAAATGTTGTCTATAAATACAATCACTACAAGCAGTAAATACAAGACAGAGGAGGAAAAATGTATAAGAAATCAAATTTAATCCTTCATCTAGAGGGGAAAACACAAGTGGTCTCATGAAATTCATGATTTGGCTCAAAACTGTAGCA